TGAGCAGAGAACGTGGCAAGCTTCCTCAGCTGCCGATCGACTCTCCTCGTTCAAGGAAAAGCGCCCCCTGAGCTGCTGGTAAGTGTACACTTTTAGTGAACAATGGCCAGTAGTTAGACTGCGCTCATACTTTGCTGCAGATATTGGGTGGAATAGGCGATCCGGGCGACAGCCGTCGCGAGGTTTTAGAAATGAAATGCCACACTTCTCCACCTACGGGACATAGAGTGCACATATTGTGACTCTTCCTAACTAAATGCCACGGAAGTAGAAGTGATTTTGTGAACTGCTATCATTTGAGAATGTTGAGAAAGTGCCAAGGTTTCTACCGTGGCAGAGTCAATGGGGGATGGTCACATCGCAAAGCGGGCCTGTAATGGGAAGTTGGCCAAATTGCAACGAAGAGAAAATGCTAAAGGGGACGTCGGCAAAGCTATTAATAGGGAGCGTCCAGCCTCATACAGTTGCACGGGCAGAAGGCCAAAACACTGCGTGTTGGGACCAGTGTAGTCGGCTGTTTCCTTTTAATAAACCTATGACCCCATAAGAAGCATCCGTTTCATGCTGCATGTCCGATAACATCTTAAACTAGATGGCGGACTTCGAAGGCGGAGTCTGGAGGCGGGGTCACTAAAAAGAGGGAGGTGCCACCGGAGCAACATTGCTTCCTAAATCCTTTCCCTTACAACTTTCCGCCTCAAAACTGGCACATGGTTGTCCACTGCGGGGCTCCTTCAATGCAGAAAACCTTGATCTTTGTCCTTTTATCTTCTGAGTAAGTGTTTACTCTTGTGTTTAAAATTACAGTAACCCACCGAACCTGTATGCTATTTTCGATATTTTTACAGATTTTTCGTGACTCTTTATTTCAGAAACGAGCTCAGCTGATCCTTGCCACGCAATCCCAGAGGTCGTATGACCCTTGTGTTCTCGTAGCCTCTCTCTCGGTCTTTCCGTGAAATGTCCGTGTTGCGCCTGTTATCGCCTGCTGTTCAAATTAGCCATCAGCCGTCCTTGACGATGTCTGTTGCATAACTTCATCTTATCACGCTTTCCTATGGGGTCATGTGTGTTGATCTTGCGCTCTCCGACTCACACTTAGCCCATGTTTCACTCTGTCGTTACTGATAAGCCCGAGGCCGCAACAGTAGTGATCATCAGTTCGCTTCTACAGATCGCCGTCATCTATTAGGTTGTATGAAAAGTCTCCGCGATTTTTCGTTTTTAAGACGGTTCTGGTAGCTATCTTCGGCAGAACTCGCCCGGTTGTCTTTAACAAACCTGTGCTCAAAAAGTATCGTTTCAACTCACATTTTTGCCAAGATAGTTCTCTAATTTGTTGCTCATGTAATTTATTTTAATTCAAAAATGAGGAATATCTGAAGAAATACAGTAAGTGATGCTTTTTTCACCATAAACAAGGCAAAGGCGCTGCATGAACATGCCGGAAAATCTGTGTGTACAGCGAAAATGCTGTAAGCAGGGGACGTCCCACGTTGGGGAATCCCCAGCGGGGAGGGGGTACTTGGCTCCTGGACAGGGCGGGTGGTCATATTTGATCTGAGAGATTTTTTTTTGATAGTTGAGTTTTCCTGTATCACTTCTCCAGTGGTGTAGGATCGTATTTGCCTTTGAAAGACACTGAGAAATTTTTAGCGTTGCGAAATTCTTTTAGTTTTCGGGAAATTTCCCTAAAAGTAGTAGGGAGCTTGAAAAAGTTGGGGAGATAGTAGGTGCGATGCGGAAGGGGAGGGGGAGGCGAAAAGGACGAAATCGGCAGGGGGTGTGTTTCCCAGAAGTTTTCGCCACAGCGGCAGGACGTAGCGCTGGCTGTAAGTGACGATGGGACCCGGGCATGGTTTGCTAGAAACCCGTTCCGACATTTGAGCAGTGCACCCGACTCTGGCCGACCAGTAAACAAAAAATTATCGAATGAATTTTGCAGTGTTGAGTGCAAGAGGCGCATCCGAGCTGTCGCGGGAATAGCCGATGACCTAAACATGAATCCTATATGATGGCTTGGATGCATCAGCCCGAAACGCAGGTTACGGAAGAAGCTTGAATGTTTGGGTAACCACAAGAACCGTGACGAAAGAAATGTAGATCGGCGATTACCGTCTGTGATATGTTGGTAAAACGAAAAAGGAAATCGACCCATTTTTGAAGCGAATGATTGCAGGGGATGTGAAATGGCTGACATACGAAAATATCCAACGGAAGAGGTCCCGGTCAAAGGCTGGCGATCCGCAAAGAGAGCTTCCAAACTTGGATTGGTGACTAATAATGTTTCTTTTAAGTGTGTGGTGGGACTGGAAGGGAGTTGCCTATTATGAGCTGTTGCAACCTGGCAAAACCATGAATTCGGCCAGTTACTGCGCACAGCTGGACCTTTTGAATGAAGCAATCAAGGAAAAGAGACCAGAACTTGCCAGCAATAAGGGAATTGTCTTTCATCACAACAATTCCCGGCCGCTCACATCTTTGATCACACGGAACAAATTGAAAATTTGTTCCAAGGAACTTGGTTGGGAAGTTTTTATGCATCCACCCCACAGCCCGGACCTTGCACCTTTTGACTGTCACCTGTTTCCATCTCTGCGAAACTCCCTTGATGGCAAGAAATTGACCGACCGAAGCACCGCTGAAAATTACTCGGCCAATTTTTTTGCCGATAAACCAGAGAAGTTCTACACCAAGAAAGTTATGAAATTACCACATAAATGGCAAAAGGTCAAAAATAATATTGTCAATATGTAATTGATTGCTTGAAAACTGATTTTTAATGATAAAGGTGTGAATGTTAAAAAACAAGAAGATTCTCCAAAAAACTCATTCTAAAAGTTAAAAGGCGCAAAGGATCCGAAAAAATCTTTAATATATTTATCGCAATATTTCGATACTTAGCACGCTCGTCAGGCCTGGAATACTCCTTTCTTACTGTAGTTAGATATTACATAACGAAACCTTTTAGATTGACATTTTTTTTGAGGACCTTCTTGTTTTTACAATTCAAACCTTTATCATTCAGATTAACTAATTAATCAACGTTGTGTAGTATCGAAGTAAACTGAGAAAGGAGTATTTCAGGAATGACGAAGGTGCTAAGCTTCGAAAATAAACGACAAATATTCTAAAGAGCTTTTTGGATTTTTTTGCGCCTTTGAACCCTTTGGAATAAACTTTCGGAGCTTCTTCTTATTTTTGAACCTTCATAATCACAAGGCTCGGGACAGCAAAATGTCTAACGAAGAAAAAAAAAGGTCAAGTTAATTGCGTAATATACATTATGGAAAAAACCGCGAGACCTCTTGTACAACCTAACATGTGCGAAAAATCGCGGAGACTTTTTTTATACAACCTAATATGTACGGTCATAGAGAATGGTAGAGATGTCGTCATTGTGTACAGTGGAGCCGCCTGCCTGCTGCTCTCCACACGCTTCAGTTTCGTCCGCGTCATCGTCACCATCACTGATTTCAATGGAGGTTCGTTCGTTCATTCCCAGTTTTCCCCAGTTGGCTTCTTCTACCCGAAGTCTGACTCATTCCCGCTCAATTAATCGATAGATGGCACTCAGAAACATCAAGCGCCATCCAATCCAATCGCCGTCAGCCACCCATTGCAATTGACACCATGATTGCTTTCTTTCACGCACAGATTACTGATGGATACTGCCCAAGCAGCACCACGCACAGCACTCCTCTCGCTAAACCGATTGCTCTTGAATAGCCATGAACGAACTGCCGAAAGGTTTGTGATTATTTGTTCAGCTTCTGAGCATTTTGTTTTATGTTACTGAAGTTACTGCTTTTAAGAAGTAAGTCGCTGTTTTATTTATTTAATGTCGAGGCAAAATCTGAACGTGACGAAGATTGCCAAAGCACACATTCACATGAAAAAGAGTTTTTAGACAGAGGTTTTGAGAGCTTAGAAGTGACACAGTTTCCCTATCAAAACCTCCAGAAATTTTATGAAAAGAGCACTTGAAGGCTCGACAGATGATTTGTGACTTGTGAATTCTCCTGAAAAATGCTCTTGACTTAGTAACATAGTTGAGCGGGGCTACCGGCAGCGCCTTCACATCTCTTCCTCTGACCATCGCTCTCATCAAAGCAGTAAAAGTTCAAGATAATGATTGTGCAAAGCGAGATCTCTCTTCTTCCTACCTTTTCTCGTCCTTTCCTTCTTTTGTCATCTCCTCTTCCTTAGCGCCATCGGTTATCAAAAATACCACATTTTTATTTATGGCATAAGAAAAACGCACCAGAAAGACAAATATTAGGAAAAATTCCTTATGTGAATAGTTGCACTCAGGGCACGTCGCACGGTGGGGGTCCCAGCAACGGGGCGGGTGTATTTTGTCGCTTGAGAAGGGGGGGGGGGGTGGGTAAATCGCAGTTTCGTTTTAATAGAATGCTTTCTGTGTTGAGTGTTCTTGTTTTTTTTTTGTCCTCTACGGCTTTTGTTGCGTTAACACCCAATAGTCTCCCCGGCCCACGTGCGAGTAGTTTTTTAATGGGGATAAATAGAGAGAAAAAACAAACTTCCCTGGGAAGAATCAACTGGAAATTTGGGAGCCCGCCCCGCCGATAGCATTAAGTAGATGAGGTAATCGTACCAGAGCGAAGAGATTTTGGACACCGCGGCCTGGGATGCTAGTGTTTTTCCTGCCAATCAGGCGCGTATCGCCGATATGTAAACCTCAACTGGACTTCCTGAGAGTTCTTAGATTCTCACTTGAGGTTTGCTCTCCTTTTGTCCTTCCTCATTATTTCACTGCTATGTTTTCGTGAGTCTTTACTCGTGTGTACATATTTTTGTGTTTTTCGACGCTGACTTAGTTTGAGGGAGGGGGAACACTTGGACACATTAACCGTAACCTGTCCCTTGCCCAAAGCTCGGAGCACAGACAAATTGGTCGCAGAGAGACAGCCCGCAGAGGGGACACAGAGGAGCAACAGCATCGTGATGTGTGGAATGGTGGTGTCAGTACACCCCCCCCCTTCCCCAACACCTACCTACCACTTTCCTACAAGTTTCCAGCTTCCTACCAGATTTCCTGAAACTCCCCACATTTTTCAGTTTTCCACCCAAAAATTTCCCGTCGATCCGTCGAGCGGTGTGGGAGGGTGGGGGTATAGCACATGTGAATGTGAAACGGGAAAAAACTGCGAAAAGTCAACAACCGGGAACAATTTTTCTCCGACGCGGCAAATTTCTCTCAAAGGCACATACGACCCCACCCCCACCCCAGCGGCCAAGTACAACCCCATCCCTGTGTTCCACACAACGATACTGTATCCTGCAGAGGAGCCTTGATCAGAGTAGGAGATATGGAGGCGCTAGGAAATCTCTATGCATTTCTGCGCCATAACATGGATGTTCCTAGACCTTTCGACCGAGTCTGATTTGTTTTCACTCCCCATCTTCAAGCTTTCCAGTAAAGGGCCAAAAAAGTTCGTAGATTATGGGCAGATCCCAGGCTGGAGTAGGAAAAAATTCCTTCTAGGAGATCAACACAATTGGAATTTATAAGACCCAGCTGGAGCGAAACAAAGCATGTCTAAGATACAGTATTCCTACGCGCCAAAAGATTCTGTCCTAAATGATTTAGTGTGGGTAATAAACAACTGTGAACAGTGCCAAGCCGCATATGTTGCTTCTCGTGCTATAGTGTGAATGATGTGGAGCAGTGATCAAAAGCAAAAAACGACCTCCCTTAAAGATTTCTCCTTTGGTATGCCCCCATCCCTTTCTTATCCCCATGCTACTACCAATGCCCGAATTTCCTCAACTTTCTACCATTTTCCGCGGGTTTTTCCTCACAAAATCCTCTACTTTTTCAGGGCAACTCAGCGACGGGAAGCATTTTGCACGTTTGCTTCTTCCCACCAACGTGTCGACCCACTTAGCCTTTTCTAGTGTTAACAGTTTTCACCATGGTAGCTTGACGAGCTTGCTCCAGCTTCACAAGGGTTCGCAGGTTTCACCGGAGTGAGATTACCGGAATCAGTGAAACAACGAAAGTACAGAACCACCCCCCTCGTCGCCGAACTGCGCCCTTATTTCCTGTTA